AAAAAAATTATAATAAACTTTCCCTCCTCGTGGAGTCCATTGTTCTTGGATTGAAAATTAAAGCGTCATTTTTTTGTATATCGAATTAACAATTGTTTAAATGTTTTTTTTAAAAAAAAAATTAATTAGAAAGTAAAAATAAGGAATATGAGAGAAAGGGGAAAAGGAAGTAAGCTCGTGGTATAATGAAAACGATTAATTTATGACACCATTTTAAAAAATGGTCGCGAGTCACGTGAACTGTCCTACGAACACCCGTTATTATCAAAAAATAATTTCGTGGCACTTAACCGACTTTATTATTTTAATGGATGTGAAATTAATCGTCTAAAAAAAATTTTATCAAGGTTTTATTTTGTATATATATATATATATATTTTTTATCGAACATTACGCTTATGTTATTATTTACTGAGGCCACCATATAAATTTATTATATATAAAGGACACATCTTAAAAAAAGGCAATAAAAACGGTAATGCACAATTATGGTCATTATCTTCGGTAGAGCATAATTGAACACCTATTACTTCATCATGTTTATCAAGTTTAATTGCCGAAGCAAAATGATAATGATTATTTTTTTTAAACATTTGACATAAAGAACGGTTTGTTTTTTTCGCGAGTGAAAAAAACAACAACCTTTATTTGAGAATTTTTTTTTCGAACAAATATATTTAACGCGTAGTTCATTTAAAAGGGGGCATTTGGCCCCCTCAATATGTTTTTTGACCCCCTCCCCATCAAGCAAAACATTAGACACGCGCCTGCAAATGTATGGACCATTTAACCCCGATTCAACCAAACTTTTTAAAAATTAAGATATTGGCCAACATAATCTTATGCGAGCCTTGAAATTTCTTTAACAGATGTTTTTGATTGGGTTAAAAATTGATCGAGAAAATCCTTATCACGAATGGCTTGTTTGGCTAATAGCTAACCGGAGCCATTTTTCTCAATCACCCGTACGCTTTCACCGGATCGATAATCGGGGCGCGTTGTCCGTTTAAAAATCTAGGGAATCCGTTATTTATGGGCCTTCGAGTGTTGGCGGAATCGTGCTTCAAATTTGTTAAATTCGTAAATTGCGCCATGCTCGTTACAGTTATAACTGTTTCCCTCTGTTTATACTCCTATCCTAAGTTATAATCATGATTACAATAAAATCGAATCATCGTTAATAATATTTAGAACTCTATTCAAATCTTGAATTATAAATCGAATGTGATTATAAGGACAAATCGACTTTTTTTAACGCCTTCAAAAAAGTATTGCAATTTATGTAGACAAAATAAAAAATCGCTCGCGATCGCGGTGTCCTAGCTCGCTCTTAAACTTTTTAGAGCGAGATGAGAATATTTACTAACAGCTGGGACCGAACCTCTTGAAAAAAAGTTACTTTTAATTTCAGTACAAGACGTAAATTGATCATACATCTTAAAATCTATCCTAATTTTTTTTTAGGGTTGACCCCAATCATCGATTTTAAAATGTCGCGTAGTATTCGATATCCGATCTTTTATCGGTAATTGATTGATCAAAATTATCTAAAAATAACTGGTTGATTTTCTAAATATGTAACGTTTATTTTTATCGATTAGTTTATAGATATATCAGGAACCTGCAGAGGTACCATTTGTACGGCCCGGCCCGGCCCGGATTTTTTTCAAAATAAATTTTCGGCCCGGCCCCGGTTTTTTTAAAGATATTTTCAGTCCCGGTCCGGATTTTAAAATATATTTTATTTATTCTTGATTTTTATAGCTAATAATGGCGATTTCAAATATTTGGTTTTAAAATATACGGCCCGGTCCGGGTATATTTGAAAAAATTAAAATACGGCCCGGCACATGTACCCGGGTCAAGCCCGGCCGGGCCTGCAGGCCTCTATTAGATATGATTTTACTTCTTCCATTTTGTTAATTTTTTTATTAATTTTACTACAAACTACCTCCACTCATATTATTGGTATATTGAATTTGTTGAATAAATTCAATTTCGTTTTTATAATACTTTATTTTTCCAGTGCGAAAATCGATAAAAATTTACAGTTTTTTTCCACTTGTTTACATTTCTTTTTCGTAATTTTTTTATTTATAAATTTGATTTTAAATTATATTTTTTAAATTTTTTTTACACTAATACCTTTTAAATTAGTGATATTAATTTAATGTAAATTTTTTATCTAGAATTCATTTTTTATAAATTATAAACGACCAAAATGTTGGTCCAAATGGGTAAGGCCCAAGGCTTTCAAACATCCTAATTCGTGAGATCAGTATTATTAATTCATCTAAGAAATGATATTTTAGCAGAGATTTGGCAATACTTATTAGAGCCCATGGGCCGATCTAACTAGTAGAAGTATATATAGATACTGGGGACTTTTGAACCTACTCAAAAGATAGAGGGAGATCTAAAGAGTAATTTAGGGTGATTATAGAAAAATTGTTCTTAAGAATCGGCACGTTCTATTTTTCGAACAGATGATTTTATGGGATTTCTATCGGCGAGCCTTAGAATGATTAATGAACTCGGGAAAAACCGGACCGGACCAGGGTATTAGCGTAAAGCGGTTACCGCCTCGGATCTCGGAAATGCTTGAAAAAGCTTTTTTTTAAAAATTTCTTTAACATATTTTCTCTTAAAAATATCTGTTCTATTTTAACTACTTAATATATTTTATGAATATTTTTTTTATATTGATCAATCATATAATAGTTTTATTTTTACAATAATTTTGTAACAATATTTGATATATTTATTAATAACTTCCAATCACTTTTATTCAATCAATCAAATAAATTAATTACAATTTATATTTTTATTATAAAATACATTATTTGTAAAAAAAAAGCAGGTAATATTAACAATTTATTTTATTTTTATATTATATTGTCGTGTCACTTTTATTTGTCGTTTTTTTTTATAAAATTAAAATTTCTTTGCTTTTCCCACAAAGGTAAAATTTCCTATAATTTATTTAATATAAAAAAATATATAATTAATTAAAATAAAATTAACGGATATCGTGAAAAATAAAATTTTTGTAAAGTTATACGCGGACAAAGTATATAGGTAATTCTCGTTATCTTATTTAAAAAAAATGACAAAACGACAAAAATGAATTTTTTATTTTTAATTTCTTTTGTTCGACAAAGGGGGAAATACATTCTTCACATTGGTTATTATCATTAATTGATACGAGGAAATTAAAAACAAATATAATTTGATTGCCGACAATTAAACTTGTAATAATGTTGAGCCGCGAAAGATTTAAAAAAACGCGTAAAACGAATCGCGACAATATCCGTTTTTTTTGCGGAGACGCTTTTTGGAAGGTCGGGGTATTCATCTTGATTTCTTCTCTCTCACTCTCTTTTTGATAAATTCTATTCCGTACCGCTTCTTAGAGTCATGTAAATTTGTATTCTTCTAGCCCTAAGCCTGGTTTTCCAACTTTTTATTTTTTTTGAACCAGGACCGGTCCGAACTTGTTCTTCCAGAGATGGAAAAAATAATCATTCTTTATTTCCGGCGCTTTTTTAGAACTTCCGGCCGACATTTGGCCCTCTACCGCTTATAGTTAAGCCCGCAACCATAATTGTTCTTATGTTATGGCTTCATCTAAAATGCGGATATTATTTTTTTTGCACTAGAGAAACAATTTTCCGAATTTGCATATCTTCCCTGAAACACTTTTAGAAATCGATTTTTTGATAAGGGAGAGGGGGGGTTGATATTTATTGATTTTTCCTGGATCCAGATATCGCAGTTGTATTTATATATATATAAAATATGACGTTTAATTTTTCTTCAAAATTTACCCTAATTTTTTGTATTTGTCGCGAATTAAGTTTTTTTTAAAAATATCGCTATTCGCTCCCAAGGGAACGCGACAATTGTTCCTATTCGAAATCGCGTTCGCGTTTTTTTAATATTTATTTTATGAGTATAAATATATATATAAATAATAATTTTATTTAAACTCAAAACTTAATTGGAACTATCTGCTAAAGTCTCTCAGCAAAACAAGATTTGCGATCTAATTATTGGATAGTTCAAAATTTTTAGAAATAACGTTATAGTTTCCCAGGAAACTTTGATAGTTGTCACGTGACAAAGCTGATTGCGTTGATTTGTGAAATTTTAGATGAGGATCAGATCCTCGATCCTCGCTAAATTCAGATGATTGTTTTTTTTAAAAAAAAGACTTAAAATCTTCCAAAATTATAGCTAATGGGGGGGGGGGGTGCCTAAGGACCTATTTAGTAGAAATAATTATTTGCCGGGTGAAACGGAAATTTGAAAGGTCGTACTTTTCGGTTTTTTCTGTTCTTTTAATTAATCGGGTTTAATATTTGGGTGAGAGGAGAAACGGATTAACAGAGGTGAAATCTCAAATAAGATGCTTTCCTCTTGAGTCAAACGGATATTTATAAGGCCATCGTTGCGTGATTAGCCATACCTTATTTATTTGAGACATCTATGACTATTGGACCGTGAACCAATAAGAATACGGGTAAACTAAACCATCTAGGTGGGGACTTATTCCCGCTCCTTTACATTTATGAGATAAACATATGTTGCAGCCTAATGTGATAACATTTAATTTTTTTTAAAAAACCAATACTCCTATTTTATAGGGTTGCACCTATCCGATCCAATCCGACATTTTTTCATCCGATAACCGATACAGATACGATGTTTTGATTGATTTATTTGCCGTCCATCTTCAGATCGATGCCATCAAAAAAGATGACTAACTGTAAACCAGAAAAGCACCGAATATCACTTTTTATACACAAACCGATTCGCGGATACTAACTCGGTATTAGCCGAACCCGGATACTAACCATTTATCGGCCGATACTGGGCAAGTATCTATGCATCGCTCTGAAATTTTAAGGCACAGCCCCCAACAATTTTACAAATCATAAATATAAATCTACCGATCTTCATTTGGAAAAAATATAAAATAACTTAATTTTTATATTCAGGCCCTCTCAGCCGCCTTATTTTTCTCCACCGTATGGCTCTTCTCCGCTTACAGCCATTACGAGGACATCCGCAACGCGAAATTCGCCCTCATTCCTACCACCGCTATATTCGGTCTCGCGGTGATTTTACTGGTCGTCGGTTTGACCGCCGCGTTTACCTGCTGCTGTTGCTACAACAACAAATGCTTGCCCAGCACTCTGGCCATATTCCTGTTCCTGCTTCTGGGTTTAGAGCTGACGGCTTGCGTACTCGCCTACAAGTACAAATCCGCGGTACGCACCTTAATTATTATTCTTTACCTCGATAAATTTTGATATAAACCTCCTTTTCCGTTTTTTTACAGTTATTTAAGAAAAATATATATTATTATATATTTGCGAAATTAGATCATTAATGTTCCACCTTCTCCACAGAAAATCAATAATCTTTGATTTGAATTTTTTTTGAACGTTTCCCCCCCCCCCCTGTTTTACCAAATATAATTGACAAAAAAAGTTAGGATTTTTGTCCTACTTGATCATCATAATATGATGGTAATGTGTAGTTCTTGTAATAAATGAGTATAGTTTTAACAGTATTTCTAAGCTTTCTCCCTTATTTATAATGTTTAATGTAATTGTAATGCGGTGGTAGTTTAATGACTATAAAATTATAAAGTTTATTAGTATATCCATTTTTGTTATTTAACTATATAAATTAGTCATATCATCCATCACATAACATTCAATTGACCTAAAAAATAAAGAAGATAGTTTATTTTTTTTACAATAAAATTAATTTTCAAAAATAACAAAAAATATATAAAATATTTGTTTTTTTTTGAAGGATAAGTGAAAATATAAAATGTGAAAAAAAATAAGTCAACATAAGTTTTTACCTAAATTTAATTTAATTACATATTTTAATAAAAAAAAAAGAAAGAAATAATACATAAAAAAATTCGATTAAAATTTTTGTGATATATCGTTAGTTATCGACCTTTTTTTTATTTTTGTCATAATTTTATAATTTTTTATAAAAATATGATTTATGTCAACCTTTGTTTGTGACCTATAAGGCGGCATAGGGTATTCGAGCCGTTTAGACTAACCGAGATTTCGCTAATAGATGGTCCGAACCGGTTCCTTCCCTCTCACGTGATACTGTTCTGGATGAAATACCGAGTTGGTCATTTTTTTAGAAAACGGCCTCAAAACGAGCCGGTTAACAACACTAGCTTTAGGGAACCGAATACCTTTAACAATACTTTTTTGAACCCGAAGCAGTGAAAATAATATCGTAAAGTTGTGGTTAGGTAGCTCTCACTATTTCATTAGGAAAAAAAAATAATATTATGCAGGCCTTAGGATTTTTCTCGTAGGTGGCACGAAGGTCTTGAACAATCTATTAACGAAATCTAACGACTTTGACGATGTTTTTCTGGCTTATATAATATCTCTTTATTACCATAGACAACGTCAGGAATCTCGAATCTGTACATTTTAATGGGGGGGGAGGGGGTTAATTTTCCTCCAGGAATAGCGCGCTTTTAGTAAATCGAGTTTCAAGGGTAAAACCTGTAGTCCTTTAGTAAGATATCATATTTTGTTTAAAAAAAATGTCAAGTTGGAATCGGAAGTGAAAAGGGAGTTGGTAGACGCCTTCCAACATTATTCCAATGTCTCGGACCTCTACGACGAGATAAATTTCGTCCAGACCAAGTTGAAATGTTGCGGCATTTACAATTATTCTGATTGGTCCGAAACTCCTTGGTACAAAGCTATCAAAGAAGCCGATCCGTCGAGTGATAGGGTAAGGAGTCATTATTTAATTAGCATTTTTTTTAAAACATCGATACAAATATGAATGTCCATCCAATCACACCCCAGCAAAAATTTCTCTATTTTATATTTTTTTTTATTAATCCCTTCATAGATCACCCATAATTTTTTAATCCTATTCTTAGGCATAAAGTTGATTTTACTTTTCGTTGTAATCATAATATATTTAAGGTGCAACTGGCCTAATTAAAAATAATAACTGTATTTTTTTTGAAACAGGTCGTGCCAAGTAGTTGTTGCGTCAAGGCTTACGAATGTTCTGGAAGCCTCGAAGAACCTACGACATATTATCATAAAGTAATTTAAATTTTGTTATAGAAGAATTTTCTTTTATAGGGATCAGGTTAGACAAGGTTAGCATTTTTTTTTTGGTTTTGATTCGTTCCACTTCCTTTAAGATGAAATTTAGGATTTTTTTTTCCGGAAAATTGCGAAATCACCGATATAATTTTATATTCACTGATTTCTCTAAAGCGTGACACTTTTTAGTCCAGTTTTCCCGGGACCCTACTCTAAAATTATGGGACAAATTTGAATTAAAAAAAACGATTTCTTTGTTATAATCTTATATCCAGAGCCCAAAATAACCACCATTTTGTATATACCTTAAGGGCTGCTTTACAAGATTTAAAAACGTTTTTTCCAACAACTTGATTTACATTGCAGAGGTTGCCGTCGCCTTTTTCGTTATTCAAGTAACTTCTTATATATTTTGTTTCTGGCATTTTTATTGTCGTAACTAAATAGCATTTTAAAATTTAGGTTGTACCTTAATATCTGGGGTTTAAATGGCCATAATTACGTTTGTAAAATCGTAAAATGCCTAAAAATATTTTGAATAAGGCATGATTTGATTTTTTTAAATTTCGCGATTCAAAATCCGATACTAAATTAAAGTACGGCCTCGAAAACTTTGCCGAATTCGTTTTTAAAGCGATATTAGGCGAGTTTATAAATGATGCACTTTAAATTGAGAGTAATATTTTACCAAATTGAATTGATGTTTTACGATATTTTAAATAATTTTTTACGCGATATTTTTGAAGAAAAAAAACCCTAATGATGTGATAAATTTACGGAATTCCTCACAAAAAAACACCTAAGAGTATTTGCTAATTTTTGAGTAAGATTTTGATGGAAGAAATCTTCAAAAAAATTTATCGAAATATTTTAAAAATAAGTTTTTGGTCCTATAAATTTTAAAAGAGGGTTATAAAATTCATCCGAAATATTTTAACTCATCTGGAAAGAACCGTGACTGAGGAAATTTAATTATTTATTGGTAATTAATACTTTGGGTGATTTGTTGATTTCGCGAGAGTTAGTAAAATATAATATTTAGCATTTGTTATTGGTCATCGATCAAATATTTTCCGAATACCTATTAATTACAGTTCTACGTTCCATCACGTTACCACTTACTAATGGGAGTTTGGAATCGGAACCCTCTGAACAGAGCTAAATCTAGGAACCTGAACCCGAAGCCCTCACTCCAAACTGCCATTAACTATATTGTAATCTTTAGATTTATGATATTAAAAAAATAAAAATTCAGCTTCTTGGAGTCGTTTTCTCCCTCATCCTCTTGTGTCAGAAGAAGGAGGTCTCTCATTCTTACCGAGTATTAAATCACGATATGGATTACACTATATGAAGCAACAAATAAAATCTTATATTCATTTTTTATAATATATTATATTTTGTATAGCCCAACTTTATAAAAGTATTTCCTTTTCATTTTTTTTTACTACTAACGGACATTTTGTCCTTTATTTTGTGGACCTCCTTGAAAAAAAAATGTATTTATAATTTTTTTAAATATTATTATTATTTCGTAATAGTATTTTTCAAAGAAATTTATATATAATATAAATATACAAAAATACATATAAAAATAATATATTAAAATAATATGAATAATAAATAATTATAAATGAAATTCATATTTTGAAAAATAAAAACATTTATCTTCGTTTTTTTTATCTTCTTCTAATGTAATAAAAAAATAATAATTTTCATTTTGTAATGTACATGTTATTTTTTTTTTTAATCATTACATTTATATAAATATAATATATATATATAAATTACACTTTGGCTTTGATTTCAATATTTAAAAATTTAATTTTTTTTAAAAAATAGAAATACTAGAGTACACGATCGTTGTCAGTGAAGAGAATTCATACCCCTAGAAAAAATAGTTAAATATATATATAGAAAATAATGAAATTACAAGAGATCTTTTTGAATTTCTAAAAAATATATATATATATATAATATTAAGTCATCAAAAACAAATAAATGGATTCTTTTGTTATAAGGAGAGATTTTATAATAAAGATATGTTGTAAGGTTTTTCTATCGAAAATGCTTTGTGGATGTCATAACAAGCGAACGCCTTTGAGAGTTAGAAGAGAGGCGGGGCTGTTTGGACGCTTGTCGAAAGAGGCTCCGTAATATTTGGAGTTGAAGATGTTGTACCTATTGCTACGATTCGCGAAAAACTTTGAAGTCATTTGCTGTTTGCCGTCCAGGCTAGGAGGGCAACATAACGTTTCGCATCTCTTGAGAGGATAGTGATGATTTATATCGTCATCGCCCAGACCCAAGGAGGGTAAATTATTCGAAGGGCATTTAAAGGTCGAAATTTTTTGACGGCGAATGGTGGAGGGGAATACGGAACAGGGAATATCGTGGTGGTTATCGAGATTGGATGCTTGAGGTAGTTGGGAAAAATTGTCAGGTGGGTTATTCACGGTATACACCAATGTTACCTAATTCATTATCATTTATAATAAAAAATTTAGATTATATATGAAGTATAGTTAAGCGAGTTGGCTACATGGAAGTGCATCCGAAAAAAAAATTGGCTGAGCATTAAGTCCCTTGTTTATTTTTGCTTTCTTCAAAGTTTAGCGATATTTTCAAGAGCCAGTCCGTTTCTAACTGGCTAGTAATAGAGTAATTTCTCAACTATTTGGAAAGATACGAGAGTAAGGGATCAACATAATTAAATTTTTTTTATTAAAAGCTTGAAATTTGAACGAGTTATGGAATTTACGTTTTTATTACAGTAAAATCGCTAAAAGTATCACGATACAATATTTGTGTGTTAAACAAGTTGATAGTTTTAAAAAATAGTAGAGTTTAATAACCCTAAGATTTCGAGTAAATCTTATAATTAAGAAAGGCAAAGTTTTCTGGTTTTACATAACTTCCCGCCTCTGTCACCTTAAATTTCTTATATTCATTGACGAAATCACATTTTTTCCTTAAAAATTGCTAGTTTAGTTTAAATATTATGAGGTGTGAATAATTCGAACATTAAAATCGTCGCTAAAATATTTGTCGAGTTTTTCTTTGTCATCCTTATCAATTTCCATTTTGCGGTAATTCGTTGTTCTTTCGTCCATATCTGAGTGCTCCCCATTGGTCGAAGCGGCGGTAGCCGCCAATCGGGGGATATTTTTCGTGAAAACAAATTCCGATTCGTCAGGACTACAACTGATTAGAGACGATTTTTCGTAATTGTTTTTGATAACGTGGTTAAGCCTTTCACGAAAGTTTAGATTCGTAAGCAGATCTGAGTCATCGAGCAGGATGGGAGATTGGTTTAAGCAACGCGACGTGGATACTATTAGAATTCAAATGAGAAGGGGGGGGGGCATTTTTATTAGTTATAAATTAAATATTTTTGCGGGTGCCCGCTAATTTTGTATAATCAAAATTTAAAAATAGCTGAAATATTTATTAGATGCGAAATTCTTTTTTTAAAAAAAACTGATAGTTTCATAAATTTTATTTTGGGAAAAAATGATACTTGATTCAAAAAGTAAAGTTAATTTGTCACAGAACATTGTCAAAGAATTTGAAATTATATATATATTTTCAATGAAATAATATTAAAAAGTAAATTAAATATATTATATTTTTTAAAGGATGGATTTATCTATTCTGAGGAAAGAAAGAAGTAAAATTTAACTTTATGCAGATAAAAAAACCTGTATCAGTGTCCAAAAGGAGGTAGGAATCAATAAGGCTATGATCGTCTCGTTTAATGGTACCGCCAAAATTTAAACCGTTGCAAACCGTTGATTTACCGAGATCACGTGGCAGTAAACTGTCGTTAGCAGGAGGGACGAGTGGAGAACTAAGGCTATCTTTCACGGTTTTTCGGGTAAAAGCATGGGACGGGTTAGAGAATGTAAATCTTCTCTTGGGAGTAAATTCTAATTTGATGCTATCGAGAATACTTTTGTCCTTTTCTTTATGATTATAACCATGATTATTATCATTATGGAATCGTGGGATAAGATCATTATTCGTTGGCTTCTTAACGGAATTACCCTTTTCTTGGTGGTAACGGTTATGATTTTGTGCCAGGAAAAAGGTGTTGAACCAAAGGTGGAATAGTTTTTCCTTATAGATTAGTTTTGATGAGGATAAATGTGTATTATAAAAAAAATAGGAAAGTCGATTTGGGCATAAGGGAAATTCCGCCGAAAAAATGATGGCAGATGTGGGAGGAAGTAGCGGAGATTGATACCAGAAAATAGAGTCTTACCCTAGAGGACGTGTATTAAGATGGGAGTTAAAAAGGCAGTTAAATAAAAACCCCGGATGTGTTGTATTAATATTAACAACTTTTACCCATAGAAATTCGTGTAATATTTTAAAAATGATTTAGCTACCATAGCATTTCATCTACTCTTGCTTATTAAGTGAAGGATTAAACAATTTAATGCAAGAAATTATTTGAAATTGTATTCTAGGGTTGTACAGATACCACTTTTTGGATGCCACGATATAAATTTGACGATTATCGATTCGATACAATATTTTATCCCATTTTGTATTCTGTAGACATTCAAATCGTTTTAATTTTTTATAATGCATACATATTACTCATCTAACATACTAATTTACAAGTATAACATCTTATAATTTTAACAAACATAAATTATTTTTTAAATATATTATAACGACCAGTGTATAGTTTATATTTCACGAATCTAAAAAGTATATAAAATATTTTTTTTATTGATAAATCACTTAATTTATATATTAGAATTAACCCTGCATAATAATTAATAAACAAATATATTACGAAAATTTGAAATAAAATATTTAAATGGATTTTCATCTTATTAAAAAAATTTATACCTGTGATGAACGGGAGATTTTACAGATACATAATCGGTCCGACCCAATAATATTGGCACAACCCTATTGTAATTACGTGCCAAAAAATAATCTTAATACTTAGTCGATACTAGAATTAATGACATAATCTATTGGGGGGGGGGGGTTCATGGTGGATCGACAAATAAAATTAAAAGAAGTTAGCGCAAAAAATAATATTTTTTTAAAAAAAAAACCTTTTTACGTATTTTGGATTTGTTGTAAAACAAAATCTTAACGTCACCTCTGAGTTGCAAGGGAGCTTCGAGGCTGAGATACAGTTTATCGTTCTTCCGATTTGGAACGAGCTTGAAATGTTCCATCTGTTCGACTGAGGTCTCTTTGTTAGAAGTCCATTTTTTCCTCACTTTTATGAATCTAAAGATTAAAATTAATTACGTTATTTAAACATTTCATTTCACAATCTCGTTGAAGAGATTTAAGACTCAGTTATCAAGGTTTGTCGATAGAAAGAGGCGTAATTTTTTTTTTATCATCATGTAATAGAGAAGGTCATTGATAGATCGGGTTTCGCTATCGATCCTATAAACACTGACTATTTTACCCCGTCTATAGCATACTGTTGCGTTTTTTTTATAGTGCGGTTTACTCAATCTTGTATCTTCGTATTTATTTTGCTTAAATTTAACACGGAAACGCTTGATCGATCCAATTAATCCTTAGTCTTAATTATGCGCTGATAAAAAAAAATTGGCGGCGGTGACGTTTTACGAGATCGGCTGATGCGATTTGAAAACAACTTCTGCCAAATTAAGAACTTATAAATATCAGAAGTTTAACAATTTTATTAAAATTATGATCGATGATGTATCAAATTATTTTATCAAAATTTGAATGGGATATTGAGGGATCATCTTAAATTTAAAATGTGACTTGTGGTTCAAAAAAAAACAGGATCACTGGGAATGGTCGTAGTGGAGAGGACCATGACTTTTTTCTGAGTGGAGCTGAAAAATAAGTTCTAACTTTCTCTCATTTTTTCCAAAAGTCTAGATTATTTGTGTAAAGATTAATGACCAAGTGGCCACCCAAATCTAAAAATTGGCCCTCTTCTTATACGAGATATAGAAAGGTCTTTAGAATGGTAAAAATAAAGAATTTGAACAAAAAATGGTGACAAACCTTTCTTCGGGAGGTAATAACGACGAATTAGGTGGACCGGATGGTTGTTGGTTGGCGGGATTAAGTGACGTGGCGGATAACGAGAAGTTAACGATGCGGTGATTGGCGCACTCTCTGGTTTCGTTCGAACCATTGTGACTCGAGCTTATCTCCAAATCGGGTACTTTTTTTCCCGTTATTTTATTTTTTTTTAAAAAAAGAGGTTACAATCGTTCAAAACAATTTAATCACTCTAGGAAAATAAAAAGAAAAAACTTGTTATTAATTTTTTTTGAAATTCAAAATAAGCCATATTTCTCGTGGATTATAAAAAAAATAAATTATATTATCTAGAAGTAGTGTTGTTAAACGGCTAACCCAATATTTTATCCTTAAAATATGATGTAATCCTCCTAATTTCGTTAATAGATGCCCAAGCCTCTGCCATCTTATGTGCAAAATCTCCAGACTTGCATAATATTTTTGACTAAGAAACACTATCTAGAAGTTTTATTAGAGTCCTTCTCGGTCGAGGGTTGGATCTTACTGATTAGAATTTCCTACGAGACTAGTTTTTTTCTTATTTTTTAAAATTTATGAAACCATGATGAAAAAAAAATGAAACGCGTCTAATTTTTCTAAATAAAAGGTTTATGGAACCGGGCTTCTTAAAAAAAATCGATATCCGAGGTCAGACTCCAAGGCCTCAGGATCTTTAGAAATATATAGTATAAAACTGACTAACCAAATAATTGCAACTTTGGTAAGGGATACAAATGGATCTTTTTAAGGTAAATCGGCACGGGCTTGTAATCCAAGTTGAGAGTAAGAAGCTTCTCGTAATAATTGACGTACCTGATTTGGCTGGGAATGGTGACTCCCTTTAGAGAGATTTTTTTTAAAAAAAAAACAATTTTAAACTTTAAAAAGTTAGAAGTTTAAGTTCCTTTTTTATTTTAAATTTAAGAATTATTATTATCTATTTATAAACATGATAAATAATAAATTACTTATTTTTTGTCACAAATGCTAAAATGGGAATATTCCATATATTCTCGGAAAAATGTTCTAGAGAAATCGGCCGACATTTTTTTTTGTTGATTTTAAATTTCGAAATACAAAAATTTAGACTATTCCTTCCCCTAATACACTTTCAGAGCCCTGCAGAGGTACCATTTGTAAGGCCCAGCCCGGACTTTTTTTAAAATATATATTTTTTTATTTTTTACAGCGGATAATGGCGATTTCAAATATTTGGTTTTATAATATACGGCTCGGCCTAGGTAAATTAAAAAAATTAAAATACGGCCTGACCGGGTTTAAGGCCGGGTCTGCAGGTCTCTGCTTAAAATATTATAAGAATGTTCTAAACTTATAAATAAATATATTTTCTTTAAATATTATTTAATAAATTAAAGAAGGAAAGTTGGATTAAAAGACACAAAATGGCTCTGTTCCGATCTGAAGAAAAAAATGGTGCATTCCTGGCGGATATAAATGTCATTGTGGTATATATATATCATAAACAAATGATATTCATAATATAATATTTTCGACTGAAAGGCATATAAACTTTGTGATTGGAAGTTCTGATTTCGCTGTAAAAATTGAGGGCTTCTTTGGCCGTCTTGAAGAGCTTTATGTGCAGCAGGAAACAACATACCATGACACCGGTGCGACCCTAATAATGATAAATGTTGTTTATTAAAAACCTACTGATAAGAACTAAGATTGTTTTTTAAAAAATATAAAAAACTAATTATGCCCAATTCAGGAGGAAAATGCAAATTAGAAAGGTTGATCCGATTTACTAAAAAATTATATTGGTCCATTTATAATCACGTGACTCGTCAAATCTAACGGGGTTATCATTCTAAACCTTATTTCTGCTCCTTACTGCGGCTTACCTATGATTTCTCAATTCCCAATTGAATACATACGATCCACTTAAAAAAAATTTTCTTCAGATAAGCATTCCCTGAGTGGCACCTTGTACGAGTGATTGAGGTTTAACCCGAGTAATCACTCATATTGACATCAAAAAGTTAGGTTCGCCTTTACTATGCGTTAAGTTCCTTTTTAAAAAAATTCGAATCCATTTTTGGAATGTAACTGTAACGCTTGTTAAACGGCTCGCTTTAAGCCGGATTTTTTTAAAAAAAAACGGCACGAGCCCAGAAGATTTTGTGATTAGCAGATGGGGATGGCACAAAAGGTTTAGAACATCTATTAGCGATATCTCGAAGCTTATAAGCTACATTTTTCTGGCTAGAATATTGAGCTAGCAATCGTTCCAGGTCGAGTCGTTCATCAACTCTGCGTACCGTCTCAACGAACACCTTTAGGATTAGGACAGTAGCATTGAGAGAAAAAAAAATTAAAGCTAAGTAAAAGTTAAAATTTAAACCTTCCCAGCTTTGCAATGGACAGCGGCGACGTTGGACGAGTCCCGATCGAGCCAAGCCTTGAGGTCCTCGCAGAACGGCTTAATCAATTCCATCTTGGGCGGCGAGTGGTCCTCGAAGGGGTAGATGGCGACCCTGTTTTGGAACCTAACGGGGTCGTAACACCGCTCTGAACACCTGATATTCAAAAAAATATTTATAACGGGTTTTTTTATATATATAATACGAAAGATATTTAACGAACATCCGTTTAATTTGTTTCCGGTCAAAATAAATAGAAAATATATATTTCTGTTTTATATAACCCGTCGATCAAATTTTTTCGTTCGAGTTAAAGGTTACTAAAAAATTATAAACAATATTATTTAAATGGATGTTGACATTTCCATTTAACGATCGGCTTAAACAAATTTGGTTTCTAAAAAAAAAATCTAACACGTGTCAATCTTATATATTTCGGCGCCCCCACCCCTCCCACAAATCAGCAGTACTTCTAGGAACTCCCTAAATACATTTCATATATCTGATGAGGCATTAGAGTAGGGTAAATGACAGTTAGGATATTCGAAAGAAAGAAAGAAAGAAAAGAGGCAATAAATCTCCGGCATAATATTTAAGGCATTTATATCTTGGTTTCCCAAAACATAAAATAAATACTATTTTACATCTTTAACCATCTTTGACTATAGTAGTCCCACATAGAATATTTGTTATATAGAATTATTATTCGTTAATTATACTAGAATCCAATGCTAAATATTTACAGCATCTTCAGATTGGAGCCGAATATATTTTTTAAAGGTTAATTAAATTACCAACGCGAAATAAAAAAGGGGTTAAATGGGGCGATATTTTTTTGCGGACGATTTGCGGAAATTTTAAAATCGCGGTATTTAAATAAATGTGAATTGCGGGAGACTCACATCGATGGCGGGAGACCTAAAAAGACAGGTCTGGTCCCAGTCCGGATTGCCCTGGACCGGGTTTGCCGGTTTTCCGAATATCTTACTCTTATTTTTACCAAATACCAAATCTTAAAATTTTTTTTATTTTATAAAGACATAAAAATTTTACACCTGTTAAAATTATATCAGGATAATAACTTTAATATAATTCATAAGAATAATTTTTTATTTTTTTTTGTAAAGACCGAATGCATAAATCTCCTGATAATATTAAATATTAAATTTTTATATAAATAATATATTTTATCGATATTATTAATATAAATAAAATATATTAAAATAAAATAAAAAATTATGAAAAAATATGTGACAATGACAAATGTGTGTCAGAAGGCATATTTTTTTTAACATGACTTTTTTATTTTAGTAAAATTATAAAAACATACAAATATGTTGTAAGTAATACATAAAATCTGAAGGTCAAAAAGTGCAATTTTTCGGTTGAGGGGGACACATTACTACCTACCAATCAAGATTAAATTTTAAAAACTGTTATAAAATGACATTAAATATTGTAATCATAATAAACATATGTTTTTTTTTAATCGTCTCTGTTTAATTTACACGAAAAGAAAACGGTTTACAATTTTAAATTATATGAAAATAATTTAATAACGATATTTAAAAAAAAAATTTATTGCGAATAGATTGGACAGACAGGTGCCATACAAAATCATTTTTTTTTTCGTCAACCCAAAGTTAGGTTCGAATCCCCTTAGAAAATCATATGTTCATTATATTGTTAATTGAAGTAGGTGAGATAAATGAACCCGACTCAAGGAAAATTTTTTGATTGGATGAAATGTATTTAAAGTAAAAACTAATATGTGAGGTTAAAGATTAGAGAAATATGGGTTAGGTGTCAATCAAAAGTTTGAGAGTATTTGGGTTAGGGTTATTTAAGGTATATTAAAAAAAATATTTAATCATTACTCGTCAAATCTGACAGGTCACGTGATTAAAAATAGTTTCCTTAGATCTCTACCCAACTTAGAGTGCCCAATATATAAAGACTTTTAATTTTCTAATAGTAGCCAATAGGAATTTGATAAGGACTCAAAATTTAGGTCATATTAGGGAGTCACCCAAATTATCGAGTGCCAAAAATAAGACAAGTTTTGTGTAATTAAATTAATATTATTTTTCGAGAATATTCCTAATTTTTTTTTGATTCGCTCATTCGAACTCCATTTTATGGAATATGTCGCCAAACAAAACATTTTGTGGCTAATTTAAGCTTTAACCACACTTTAAGTTCCTTCATAAAATAAATATGGATGCCGTAATTTTTAAAATAAATGGCGCGAAAAAATATATATTAACAAACACATCCTCCGCAAACATATGAAATAAAGAGAGTATTTTAGAATATATATATAGTCGTAGTAGTTTCATTAAATATGATAAGACTCCTTTAGGAAGGCATAAAAGTTGAAAGGTGATTTTATATTGGCAATACGGCGACCGGAAGGTGTTTTCTTCTTCCTCTACACCGAATTGAAATGATGGGATCAATAAATCTAATATATCCAAGGGAAAATAACAATATTATCTATTTTGGGTTGGGTCAATGTTTCGTTAACGACGTAACGGCCAGCGGTTCGGCCATACAAGACTCTATAATTCGGGTTTTAAAAAAATTTTTTGGTTGGGCATTTTGAGACGGCAGACCATACAGAGACCGATTTACGGGCAACCCATCGAAACCGGGGTAATATGGATCAGGGGCGGGTTCGATCTCTTTTAGAAAATCGGTTTTTGATTAAATTCCCGTTATCAAATTACCGCTAAAAGAGTAATAAATAGAATATCATTTACGAATGCGTAATTATTAAAAGTTTTTTTTTTAAAAAAAAAAATGTTTTTGTTGGCTTACAAATTGTAAATTTTGTAGTGGTCTTTATGTTTCGTCTCGAAAAATCTAGAAGATGTAAGTTTAAAAAAAAATAAATTAGGATAAATGAATCGTAAATTTATAGAGAGTCTCCCAAAAGTCAGACCGGTTCCGGTTTTAATAAATTGTTTAAAAACCGGGTTGAGCTCGACCCGAAACAGTTGAATTTAAAGGGGTTCTACGGATATTACATTCGAGAGGTCTGCCAAGGGTTGTGCGGATCACAAATAATTCCAAAACAATGGGCGGGAGGGCTGACGTTTTAGAAATGGCCAAACCAACCAATCAACTAATTTTTAAATCACGTGCTGGTTAGTTAAACAAAATTTTTTTTGATAAAAGGGCGAGGAATGAGGGGGTGGGGGTAATTTTTCTTTATAGAGGGAGTGGGAGTGAGAGGGTTGAAAATAATTTAAACGGGCAGGCCGGAGTTAAACTGGAGCCCCTTGCAGACCTCTACCTATAACCCAACGTTATCGATACCACGTTTTCCCAATATCCGTGTTCCGGTTTTTAAATCCGGATCGGTGAAAAAATCGATAACGATTTAGGAATAGGCCGTAGCCCTACTTCGTTTTAGGTATCAAGGTCACCCCGTTTAATAAAGTGCCCTAAAGATTGGTGATAACACCGATTCAACTGAATAAAATGGGGGATAATTTAAATATCACCTGACCACGTCGTCGATATGGTTCCTATACACCCCTTCCAGTTTTTCGGCGGGAAATCCCATGGCGATTAGGTTGGGGAAGATATCTTATTATTCAAAATTTAAAAAATATATTTCAAGGTTATCCGCCGGAAATTGTCGAGATGTATCAATGCGCGTAAAGGTTATCATATTATAGAAATGATATAATATACATATTTGGTCACCATTTCTAATTTTGATGGAAAAATCTTTTACATGACTATATATTTTTTTTAAAAAAATTGTCAACTTCATATCATTAATGGATATAGCAATTTATTGTTTCTTTGTAGATATTTACATTTAAAATTTAGATAGACATTATCTTAATTTGCAAGGTGATTAATGATTTTTCTTATTATCATAATAAACAAGTATATCAAAAATTTGGCTGAATATATATATAAATAATGTAACATCCAATTTAGAGGGGTTTATACTTTTTTGAGATTGGTTTAAAAAAAGAATAAAATATTTCCCATTATTTAACTAATAGCATATTCGTCGTTTTAGTTAATTTTCTAAATAAACCTATAATAGATATGGATCTTATTACAAAAGTGTAATAGATGATATCATAATGATATTGTTCAAGATGTAAGAATCCTTTTCCATTTAAAAAATAGTAATATATTATATTGATGATTGGTACTAACTAAAAAAAATTCAGTGTTCTTTTTAAAGATTCCAATCAACAACCTTAAGTAAATTAATTGCATCCACACAAGCAAAACTAATCTAGTTGTTGAACTAAAATTTTTGGTTAAGATTTTTAAATTAAATTACAAATTCACAAAGACATATTTATAAAAGCAAGAACAATTTTAGTAGAAGATTATTAGTATAGAATCATATGGCTTCTGGATTGTAGAAGTTACATGTGGCGATTTAAATCAAGAAAGCCTGTTGCTTATTATTACCAAATTCTATTATAATTTCACCATTATGATACATATATTAAATTACATTATTATAACGTTTATAGCATATATTTTATGTTATATGTATAAAATATAATGGTATTAGTAAAATAAAATATAATAAAATCTATAAATATATCATGTGCATATAAAATATATAATGATTTCATATAATAATAAAATATCCAATATATAGGAATTTAAGGTATTAATTTTTTATAAATTTAATCAAAAGTCAAAAAGTGATTCTAATTTTTAGTGTCTACTAGATAATGTATTTTTTAAATTATTAGTGAATTTGCTTTTTTTTGTTGTTTTACGTGTGTACCTAAGGGAGAAAAAAGTAGATATTGACTAAATGTATTGTCATAGGGTTCATGGTGAGGACTGATGTGGGCTAGGAAACTTGGTATTTCAGGCTAAGACTTAATAGTTAGTTTTTAGCTCTTAGGCCATGACCTGACTCCATTTATTATATCTCCCTCTAAACAGAATAAAAAGAGGCTATTTAGAATCAAAACAGAATAGGATGACCAGTCCACGATCTGAATAAGCTGGTCTAAACAGAAATAAGTTAGAAAAATAAGACAATATAGGACATACTTAAGATTAGACTAGATTAATAAAATTGGGTAACAAAACTAAATATTTCGACTCTAATTAATATTATTGATAGTGTATATTATAAATTTATCATTTCAAATATACTGGTGACCATTCCAGATTTGAAACCAATTAACAAAATCCTCCGAAATAGAATGTTATCATCGTGAAGAGTTAGCAGTTTTTTAAAACCAATTTTTATAAAGCAAGATGTTAGCTAATGGTGGAGAGGTGGTAGATATCCAGCACAAATGTAGGAGTAAGGTTAATATATGTATAAAAAAAGGAAAAAAAGGATTAAATATTTGATTTGTTAATTTTTATAAGAAAATGTTTTGCAATTATTATTAAGCATCATATGGTATAATGGGCAAGTGCTAGGCTAATTCTTCTTAACTATCCAGCGCTAATGCATTTTATTCCTGTCTGGACCCATTTTTTCTGAAGAAAGTTAGCACCAACAGTTAGCAAGGGTTAGAGAAATGGCAGGTAGCCAGGATGGATAGGTAGGGTTAATATTTATATTAAAAAATGATTCACAAAATTTAGTCATTGTTTAGTAGATTACGAGTATGAATATTTGATTTAAACAGGAAAATAAATTACAACTATAAACTTAATTAATATTCAAGTGTATTATGTCTTAAACTTAAACTTTCTATATTATTTTACAAGATTGATAATAATATTGGGTATCTCATGGTATTGATTGATAGTTGTTAACATATTAATATCAGTGTATCTCTGCTTTATTTAATAATTAAAGTATATACTAACCTTTTAAATGTAATAAAAATGACCAAAGATTTAATTATTTTTTGATAGAATCATCTTAAATAATAAAAATTGAAGCTATTAATATTCCTAGATAATCAATCGTGAAAAATTGGTATCAATTATATTTCAATCATAAAACCATAAAGTAATAAAATAACATATTGTCACTTTGTAAAATAATCTTACCAGCTCAATTTTCATGATTATTATAAGATCATTAAACTTTATTATAATGCATTTATATTAATTTTAAAGTACTCATTAAATACAATGTTGCCCTTGACATATATCAAGTTGACTATTCAAATAAAATAATTTAGATACTTTATATTTTGAACAAAAATCTAACAAAAAATCTTATAAAAATGATCAAGTTATATGTTCTGGCAGGATTATTACGATGATTAATACTTTAATCTAATAAGAGTTTTTTGCATAAATTTTTAATAAAAATAAACTATAACTTACATGTCAAATCTAGATCGAATCCACCCTCCTGATATCTTCTTTTATTTTTGCTGACCAATTCCTTAAGCTTAGATGTCATTATAATGAATTTTTATTTATAAAAGTTGTGTCATTGTCATTTAATATTATAATATAGCCATACAATCTGAAAATGAAAAAGCCTAAAATTATAAAACCGTGTCTTAAAAAGAGTAGTTTCTATAAAAATTAACATATCAATATGAAATCTGTTTAGAAAATGATTGTTGACAATCTCATGTATATGGCTGTGAGAAAATTATATGAAAATGAAATGTTTATAACTAAAATTATAATTGCTATGAGGAAAATGAAAGCCTTACTCCTATCCTTAAAAATATTTGAAGACAATTAATCTTACCTAGATCTACACACTAGTGTTTGTTAAAAAGTGCCAATTTTTAAAATTGGCACTGACTACTTAGCCAAAATAATATTATATAAACCTTGATATTTAACAAATAGAGATCCAAACATTTCTGCCACTGCCACATATGAGAAAATCTCCAGACTTAAATAATATCCTTTTTCTAAACTCTTAACGATACCTTTTTACAAATCAGTCTTTTTAACCAAAGATAAGAATCCAAACCAAAACTCTCCCAAACCCTCGATATTTTGCTGAACCCAAACCCGAACCCTTTTTTAATATTTAGGATTCAGGGTCCAAACTTCTTTTTTTTTAAATTTAAAATTTTTTTTTTATTTTAAGCTTTCACTTTATTTATTTTAACTTATACGTTAAAAATGATATAATATAAGGTTGTGATGTCCTAAATGATCGCTATCTATTAACTAAAAGATTGATTTTTTAAAATTCTTTATATTAAATTAACTTTAACCTCAACCCTGAACCCCCCCCCCCTCCCCCGAATCTGAGAAAAGTTTTGAATGATTTTTAAACATATATAAAAAAATTGACCAATTTATATTAAATAAGTAATTGATTGAGATATTTCCATTTGAAAAATATATAAAGATACGAAAACACTAATTGAAGTCCTATGAAGAATATTCAAAGTTATATAATTATTTTCAAGAAGCTTTACACTCATCAGAAGATCCTCAAGATAAGATTTTTTGTAAATTATGTACTTCCAGTTCCAGCTTATACAATATATAATTATAACATGAATTTTCTTATCTTATATACATTTGAATCATGGTCAGTACATAGATAGTTACACCTAAAGAAAGGTTTTGTTACTTGTGGAACCCTAGTTATGGACATGTATAGAACTGTAATGATCTTGCATTTGTAAATCCCTTAGTTACACCTAAAGAAAGGTTTTGGTACCTGTGGAACCCTAATTATGGACATGTTTTTAGAACTGTAATCATATTGCATCTATAAATCTCTATTAAGGAAGTAGCATTTATTAACTATAATGTACATCATTTTTTTTTACACATACACCTTTAAAGTGGAATGCTTACATTTGATTCTATTTTAAATTTGTTGTGTATATCAGATAGATCTAAAAGGCCACACAATTTGGTTATTGAACATTTAATTCCACTCTTGATTATATATAGAATATCTTTATTCTTTATAAGGTTTAAAAGACAGGCAATTTTATATTGAATTTCCACTAAGTAAGTATAAAATAACCATACAATTTGATTTATTACAATATTCTACACTTCCTTTTGCAATTATAAGTTTACTTACATATATACCTTCTAAACTGGAATGGTTACATTTGATCTATTTTAATTTGTTCAGATTATCAGATCCAAAGTTAAGTGAAGGGTCACACAATTAGATATATTGAATTCCTTTTCTTGTAAATATAAGAACCAAAAGATCACACAATTAGGTTATTGAACATTTCATTCCATTCTTGATTGTATATATATATCCTTTTGCAATTTATAAGTTTATACAATTAAATATATAGAATAAGGAGCTATTGATCATCCATTTTTATATTAATCCACTCAATTCCCTTTGAAGTTGAAATGGTTAAATTAAATTGAACATAGACTATGATTACTGTATTGTATGGGTTGAATCATTAATAAAAAAATAGCACTATAGATACTGTTCAGGCAAATTTTTTTTTATCAAAACTTACACTAAAGAATTTAAACTTAAAATCAGCCATCACCCACCTTTAAAGTAATTAAATTATACTGTAGTTCTCGGGTATAGGCTCTTTTTTAACTCACTCTTACTAAGCCTATAGAGGTTTAAGCAACTTTTTTCAAAATGTTGCGCCTATAAGTACGTGCGGCTTGCCCACAAACTTGTGAAGGGCTCCTCATTTTCTTCCCCTAATTAACTATCCAGTTTACTGGATTTTGAGGAAAACCTAGCGTAGCTCTGTTGTACAACCAGAGGGCGAAAACGCTTTTATCACGTATCACGTGTTAAAATAAATGATATGTGTATCAAACGCAAAGGATATTTGCCCCGTTGGCGCCAAATTCACATTTAACGAAAACGTATAAAGCTCCATATTGATTAATGCAACAATATATAAAACAATATTAAATCCAAATAAACTTGCATTTTGACCATTTAAGAAGTAAAAATTTTATCAAAGGTAAAAAAATAATTATAAAATTAAAACTTTTAATTATTAATATATATTTACTAATTATATCATGGATTATTGCACTATATCTTAATGCTAAATTCAATTCTATAATCATTTCCATTTCCAGAATATTAAGCTTTTATTTTACATTTTTTATATAATAAGTTTTTACTATTTAGTCTGGCTAATTAAGACATAAAGATTTAAGAACGTTCGGCTCTCAAATCACATGACCTATGCAAAAACTAGTAGGGCTTCCGTGAGCTAGATATACCCGTATATGGGTTAAAGGACGAATGATGACCTCTTTGAGCGATGTAGGGATAAGAATTATCTTATAATCCAAAGATGATAACGATCTCTTGACCAGCTCTAAGATAATAATTATCTCGTGGGCCCTCTAAGGATGATAGCTAACTTTTGGCCAACTCTAGAATAGAGGTGAATACGTGGGCCGTTCAAGCACATTGTGGACCAACTACAATAAACTCGTTAGCGATACTCCAGGAGATCAAACATACAATAGAATCGATAAGTATTCTCCAGTGGGATATCTGTCGATATTGATATTTCGGTGAGAGATCAATCAACAAGAGAAACGATATTGATACTCTTTACGAGATCAATCGAACCAAGGCAGCTAATATTGATGCTCTTTTGAGAGATCAAAATTTTAATTGGGGAGAGAAGAGTGGATGTTAAAAAAAGGTAACATCACCTGGTAAAGAAAAATTGAGACCAAAGATAGAGATTATTTTTAGGAGAAATTGTCGTGGATGCCTCTAGCAGATGTAGGTTTCCTAATAAATGAGGAATGAAGAAATTGGGAATTAACTATGTTTTATATGATTAATATAATAATTTGTAAGGTTTAACTACCTAACACTTATATCATCAATTACATTTGAGATATCCGGTATATAGTTAGTTTTATTGATATGAATATACATGTTTAAATAAATGAATATTTTGAAAATTATTCTACATGATATGTGAAATTATCTAATTTATTAAAATATGTGCTATAAATCAATATGATTTGATATGTTGATATATTTCATAAATATAAATTACGTATATAATATATATATATATATTATTTCATGCCGATATTTAATTTTTTAAAGAAACAAAATCTATTTAAGTAATTTAGACACAGAAAATTTACAAGGTTTTTATATAAGAATGACAAAACCTTGATTGAGTTGTAAAATAATATCATTGCTCACACTACATCACCTTAATATTTATTTTTCAAGTATTACAATTTGAAATCTATTCTTATTATTTGTTCGTTACAAGTCTTTTAAGTGATTTAAGAACGTCTTCACGATAAATTTCGTTGAAACTCAGGTTGATGTAAAATGTTAAACAATAGTACATGTACTGTAAATTATTCAGAAAAATGTACCAATGGGATACGGACCCTTTATCGTGATTGATTAATAAATGAAGGATTATGATTTCCATTATGCTTATTGGTAATAAAAATATAATAAATTGGAAAGTCAGAATAATCAAAGTCTTTGAGTGTTGCTTACTTTCTTTAGATCTACTTTTGCTCGCGCTATTGTTCCCTAACTCAAGATTCATCCCTTCAATTGTTCTGATTCCACTTCTGGCATTACTTGTTTCCATATTGACATTTTTTGTAACTTTTACCCTATCTAAATTCAAAGGAGTCACAGAATTTATGACTTTGATGGGGATAATAACACGTCTTTTTCTAATCACTATCCATTTGATCATAATAAGAGCAAAGAAGGGAATCATATTGACACACAATATTCGCAAAATTTGATAAATCTGCCAAGGGAGTTTTTCACTACTAGAGGGTACATAAATCTCGTAAGCATACACTAAAATAGGCAAAGTTTTGTTTTTATCTTTAACGAAGTTGGTCTTCCTCTCAGAAAATTTAGTCGGGGAAGATCTTTTAGGACACACAAGAACCTCGATAGCGTTAAACCATCTGAAAGTGGGTATATTCCAAAGAGCACTATATACAAAGCACATTAACATAATCCAAATTACCCTCCGTTTCGTCACTAAGCTATTAAAACGAGTAGGGTACTTTACGATCATCGTTTGAACGCCGAAAAAAATGAAGTACAAAAAAAAGCTGAATGCCATGAGTGTTTTAGTGATGGGATAATGAAAGTAAGCCAAGTATACGTTCCATTTCTTTGAGTTCCAAAACGTTCGGCAGCATATATAGTCTCCGTGTACCTTCATGAGCGGCGATCCTATTTCCGTTAAAACAATTATCAGACTGAAGATGAAGAACCACTTTAGGATAAACTTGTTAATATATGGAGCGTTGATGGACCGGTTGTTTCCACATTTGAGGTGGGTACTCATAGCTTTGTTGGCTATTATTGCTAAGCCATTACCAATCATGCCTAGTATAAGAATAATGTAGCCTGTCACCAAATTCACGTCCGTCATCATGTCCCCTTTGTTAAATACGACTGTATTTTCAAACGAGATGCACTTGGCACGTATCGATGAATTACTACTATTCATGCTGTTATATCTGAGATGACCTATAGATAGACTTGACATTAATATATTAAATCGCAATTTTTAAGGAAGATTTTCTAATATTATTACTTTTTTTTAGTGA